CCGGAAAGCGCGCAAATTAAGCCGTCGAACTAATTTAATAGATATCGATGCTTAAAGGAAAAGCAATATCGTCATCGACTGAAGTTAGCAGTTCAATAACTTTTGTAGCCTCATAGGCTCTCATGGGCGTCCGTGTGTCTGCTTGCTGTATTTGCGCGCCTCCTATTCTATGCCTTGCGGGCATCCTATTCTATAGAAGGCCGTCGCATTTCACGCTTCTGTATAGACAGACACGCCTATAGATGTTGTAGATGATCGCAGTTGAGACCAGAGCATTGCTGTGCGGGAGTTCTCTATCCCTTCAAGCTTCAACCGAGTTTGGAGTGCAAGCACGAACGATATACACAAGGCTTGAATCTTGCGAAAAAAAAGAAAAACAAAGAAAAAAAACTTTCCTACTTTACTACGGACCAAAGTCCGTTAAACTTCCTTAGCTCTTTAAAACATGCCAACAGGTCACCATAGGCAAGCGACGCGGTTTCAATCTAGGTTACGTACGGCGTTCAGTCATGCTGTTCACATTCTATATGTATCACGTATTACCTGTGTTTTCAACCAATAATGTTCTAGCATGTTTGACTAATGGAATATCCGTCTTCAAAAGACACACTCTATCGTTATCCGCTACTTATCAACTCTACAAATACTCTTGGCTAACAGAAGAAGACATATGTAGGATAAAACGATCGTATATACGTACATAAATATATCGCTCAGCATACTGTACGAACTAAGGACGATGTGTGGCCTTTATCTTTTATGGCATACGGGATACATTCCGTATTTTCTGCTTTTTACTTTTACTATAGGCACATAGTGACCTATTATTCGTAGCCTAGTAGGGTGTGTGTTATTTTTTTAAATACTTTTTCGTATTTTGATTCTAGTAAGCATCGTATTCTTTGTGAGACGCAATTCTATCATTGTGGAACGTATACATCCGCATTGACCAAATGTCGCTAGTAAAGTTCACCAGGGTAATACTGCTAGGCAGTAAGCTGATCTCATATATATCATTTTTCATGCTCTTAAAAAAATGATGTATTCAGAGCCTATGATGTATAGCTACAATTGGTGAACAGGTGAATGAAAAAGGAACCACTGTCGAAGTTTTCTTTAAAACGGTAACAGCTATATTAAATTGAGACAGGAAAGCTGGTCTACACTGTTAACCGGTCAGAGTCAGGGATGACCTACGCGACGTCGAACTACGTACAATAGTATACCGTTATCTTAATGGTCGCTGAATCTAGCGATTAAATTCGGAGTTAAACTTTTCTCAGTTCGGTGTCATTGCTCTACTGGTTTTTTCCGAAATTTTGCATCCGCAACCACCGTCTCTATCATTCAGCCTATACTTTCCAGCACAAGTACATCATCGAGCTGGGTTCGCAACTGGTTTCCATGGAACCTATGCCTTCTTACGGTTTAGGGCGGGTTTTCTTTTGCACAGATGAGGAAACCTTGCCCTAAGACGCAAGAATGACGAAAAATTGATTTAGCTAACGGCACCAGTTTATGTCGCTCGTGTCTTTTCTTCGGTCTACCTGCTCGAGCTATCGGTACTCCAGCTAATATTCTCAGTATTACTGGAGTTATGGCTTTCAATTTTTATTAAGTTCTAATTCACTTTCTTATGTGTTGTGTCCCCATTGAGCCAAATTTGGGAAATATCATATTTTTAATTTGTCCACCATAATTTGTTCTCTTTGTTCACATCAATTCGGTATCTGCTTTTCCCAACTAGCGGTTTGTTTTCTTTTTATCCGTTGTGTTGATGTAAAAGTAATGAAACTCAGAGTAATAGAATTTAAAGCTATATGTAGTGTCAACCAATATTTTCCTTGTTTTAACATCGCTAAATTTGGCCTGCGTCGTAGCGAAATTTGCTTATCTTTTCCAGTTTCATTATCCGGACCCAACTGAGAAATTGGAAAACGCCACCTGGAGGTTCGTTCTTGGCTCTCAGGACTACCTTTACAAATATCTTCGAAACTCGTCTCCGAGGCATACAAAACGTTTGGCACTTCCCAGGAGCTAAGGTTTTGATCTGCATAGTTACTTTTGTTATTTGCATTATTTATTCACAACATGTTTTAACCAAATTATTTTTGTGTGGGATATCTTCTCTCTGTGGTTTACTATGAATCCGTTTTTCTGTAATGTGTCGGTGTCTGAGCAGGTATGCTAGCGTTGGATATACTGGGTCATTTGCTTCAAGATCCGGATCCTCAACAACATTCTCTTCGGGCATATTCAGTGCTTAGGTTTAATATTATATTAAAATCTCCGCTAATACTTTGTATCCTACCGTTATTCTACCTGTCCAATCGAAATCAATTACTTTCGCGTTTGCGGTGCATGTTAGGCTGTTAAGGGTTCGTACGATGGGCGTAGTAGATTGTCGAAAGAATGACGCCCTTATTGACCGCTTTTAGGATGTAGAGGTCGACCATCTCAACGGCCGCACACTTTTACATTATGGGACGAAATATCTTTTATATGTGGTACTATTCACGAGTCAAAACTCAAAATACCGTATAAATTTGATATTGTGAGCCTCGACGTTGTTGGTCAACATTTTACAGTGGTTCGCCCATTAAAATTGTTTTCAGCCCTTCTTTTTACAGTTGCAACGAATGATCTCAGTGGTTTTTGCAGGGTTTCGCTTCTTAAATTTAGGGTTGACGCTCTGTGAACTGTTTGGTAAACTGTTGACCCTGTTGTGAGTTTTTGCTGTGGGAGGGACTCCTCCATGCATTTATAGAGTTTGGGAATCGTAGCTGGTCCAGAAGAGAGAGCAGCGTTCAGGCCCAAGTCTATTGTTCATTCCGCGTCGGTTGTGAGGCGCCTCCCGGTACTGCAAATTATTTTTTTTAGAGCATCTGTCCTCATTCTGCTTGTAAATGGGTGTATTAGCCAGTCATAAACCAAATAGTTCTCTGCCTTAGCTCTAAGTTCGCGTAAACTAAGTGGAACTGGAAGTTTTAAGTAATAGACTCTAGGGGCTTGTATCTGTTTGCCCTGCATTTGATGGTGGCTAGATCTTTTAAAATGTCAGTAGTTAGCTGAAATTGCTATTTATCTTTTTAGCGTGATTTCTGACACACGTCAGCGTGTTGCGGCACTTTTCTACAAAGCACTCTTGCAAGGAAAAGGATGATTCGGGCTTACATGGAGATAAGGAACAAAAATCGTTTTGGAATCAACTCTACCGCAGAATCTTAAGATTTATAGTAAAAAGGACCTCATATACGAGATGATCACAAGCCACATTGAAGACCAAAAATTTACGAAGTTTTATAATAATAGAAATTTATACACGGACCGTTTTTTCGATGATTCTAATATATATGTTGGTTTTTGCTGGATATTGAATGGAATGTTTGTGTGTATCAGTGCAGATAGTTACTATAACGAAATAACTTCAATAGAAAGCTCTTTTTAAAACTACTTAAAAAAGGAGCTAAGGACCCGACTAACAGTAGTTACTAGCCTCGTAGAAATATGTATATAATAGTTGAACTTTTCCTATTACCTTTCTATATTTTTTTACGTTGAGCACAATATTTATAATGATACGAAACCTGCGAAAAGCATGTACAATATTGTACACTACTGCACAGTAACGTATAGTATTTTTTTAAAAATCGTTGTGAAGCTCATATAAAGCTTTATAACTCTTGAATTGTCTCCGGAACCAAAATTTGATTGAACATATAACCATAAGTTGTTCGCGAGCTTTAACAGTAGAATTTAACGTCGCACCTAGCATTAGCTTAAAACGGAATCGATGCACCGTTGGAAAGTTGGGAACCAGTTCTGTGTTTCAATATATTATACACGAAGATCCTACAACTATATATAGTACCGACGATTTTCAAGTGAAACGAGTCCAAGATTCTAGATAACTTTAAGTAAGAGACAAATCAAAGATAAGTTAAGAGTAGGTACGTGGATACGCGGCTTTATAAAGCGCACAGTGGATGAGAAGATCATGTTTAAAGTAAAGGGCACTGTGAAGAGTTACGTCGATTCTTAGGCCTATAAACTGAAAGCTCTATGAAGTATTACAGCATCGTATATATTCTTCTTATAGCTCAACGTTTTGAATAAAGATTTAATGATCGATCAATGATTAATTTTAGCGCATCATGATAGACACGCTCGATACTAGTTTGCTTACTGAGCTTCTTACGCAAACTCATAACGATTGAACGATCAAAACGCTCTTAATACAGATGTCCGGTGCTTTGTTACAAGCTTTTATCGTCGATCCGTTCCAAGCACCGCGTGGCCGAACAGATGAACGGAACTCAAGTAATGTGTCACCTTTGTCAAGTAGGTCCAGCGGCCTTTGCAAAGTATATAACGTCAAGGATTGCTCGACGGGAAGCTTATTCCTTATAGAACGAACGCGCAACTGACGGAGAAACGCTTTCTATGTTATCATCGTTAGGAGAACGTTAGGAGTAGGAGAGCATTCATAAGTGGAGGTGGCCTGCCTTATTTGAGACCGTTACTGACCCGTCCACTCACACATAGAAGAACACATATGCACGAGTCTGTCGGAATGGCACCGCTATGTACGACGACATTCATAAAAGCTTGAAAAAGTTCTTTTTGCAAGAATTGTTGACGAACTATTTGCCTGTAACATTATTTTGTTGCTAACCTGACAATTGAAGATTTATAGTAAAAAGGACCTCATATACGAGATGATCACAAGCCACATTGAAGACCAAAAATTTACGAAGTTTTATAATAATAGAAATTTATACACGGACCGTCAATAAGGAATTAAAGAGTAGATCATAACGATTAGTACCCGCACCAGAGACATTTATCAAGCGCAAAACAATATTTAGCATACATTTTTTACGTTTTGCATGCAACAGCTAGTTGTGCATCATCACTTAACTGAGCGTTTTTAATTAGGCTTTCTTTGCCATATTGTTCCCGGGTTGAGCTTAGATTCAAACGAACGATTTGCTACTCACCATGGTGAGGTCTTCTTCTCGTTGCTGCTTAAGCGTGTCGATAATGGCGGGCTGTTGGCTTTGCGAGCTTCCTATTGATCGTCGTGCGAACTCCGTCCGATAGGCCCGTTTCATTAGAATCATTTTCCGAAATGAATAGATAATTAACGAAAATGGCAGTATGTATCCACCGATAAAATATGCTATAATATATGTTTTATATTCATATGTATTTCGTCTCCAGTCGATTGTGCACGCTGTTCCAAACGGCGTCAGCGAGTAACTGGTGGACAGCAAAGAACAGCCATAGAAAAACAGAGTACCAATATCAGTGTTCTTGTTATATCGGTTCGCTCGGAAACAAAAAATATCAATATGAAGCTAACACACTAAACTACCTCGCTGTAAAACAATGCGGCAAATTCTAACGCTATGATGTTTGCCTAACTTCGAAATAAACTACTTGTGTCTCTCTGATCGTTTCTTCTTCTTGAACATCGTTCTCGTGGTTACTTTCAGTCAGTAGTAAAAGATCAGACAGATTCGCTTTTTGGAAAAATTTCTGCCTTCGGAGAAGGCGTAGTTGCAACAGTGGGGTACTGGAAAGTTATCCGATTGCTCATATGGTAGTCTTTCTACACAGTATCTTTGCATGTGTATTGTGGAAATTGTCAGCGTCTCTGACAGTCAACACGCTTTGCTTAAATCGTCAAACTTTAATTACGAAAATATCTTAGCCAGTATCTAGTTAATGGGGATTTCAACAAGAATCATACATACAGAATATTTAAGAAGCGGGTGATGTGGTCGCTGCAAGAGCGTGCTAATGTTAAGCCCCAATCTAACGATGTCGATCTAGCAAATCTAATCCATGTAACTGGTTCAGTGCGTTATCTCTCTCGACTAGGTCATATGCAGTTCAGGTCTGCCTCTCAGTCCTTCTGTGATATCCTTTCAAGTGGATGCCCCATGCTGTGAATCAAGGCATAGGCTCAAATTCGACAAACTAGTTCGATAAAGGTATTGTACTTGCAGAGCTTTCTGATCTCGATTACCCTAATACTTGATATAGCTTTTGGCTAGAGTAGGAGCTTCAGTTCCCAGCCGCTCGCAAAATTCATAAACGATGGACAAGCTATATAAACCAATAAATCAAATGGAACCAGAGTGAGTTTTATATGTTTTATAAGAACTGCAATCATCGATTTTCGGTGAGATGCCACCTTGAACAAGCTGTGGATTATGTAGAGGGTCGACGCTGTTTACAAGAGCTTGGTATTTGCATCTGTTAGCTCTGTGTAGTAAAGATCTGAATATCCAGAAGGTAACGAAGAGGAAGCTCTATTACGCATTGAGGCTGAAGTAAAAAGGCATGAGTTTGTCGGCTAGTTTACACATATCAAGTTTACCTCCGTTTCGTCGCGTTGAAATTGTGAGTAAAGCCTACAAAATAGACAGTCGATACAGCTTACGAAATATCGTTTAAAACAATTAGTCGCCATTTTGGCCAATGCGCTCAGACTAATGGCCTATCAAATAGGCGAAGGTTCCTAATCCACCATCATTGGCCACCACAAAAACTAGGCCAAATAAGTAATTTTCCATCACACATTCTAACGTCTAATGATGCCGTTATACCGCCGTTTGTGGATGTGTAAATATGCCATATCCCACTGTAGTGATGCAACATAAAATCCCTGTGAATGACTCATTTTTGCGAAATGATTTTCCTCTCCCTGTACAAGTACACATCTAACATTTGAAAACCTCTACTGTTTCCTGCATGAGTAAAAATGGTGTCCGACCGTAAGTTAATCAATGTTTTATTGCTATCCGATCTCTAGTTATTATTTTCAGAGTATATTTTTTTTTATCTTGTGAACTTACCGACTCCAACCGTACAACGGTGGTGTAGCCCAAATCGACGCAAACGTCCAAATTAGTACTGCGTAGAAGATATACGTACGCTGTAAGCGATCTTCGTACAACGTACGACCGGATACAAGAGAAATAGGTAGATTATGGTAATGGCAATGGCTGTACAATTACGATGTTATTTTTTAGACGATTTCTTTGTCGAAACCGTAAACATGTACGTCTATACGTATGCACACGAACTTGGCAGTGAATTAACAATTTTTGAATCTTGCCTAGCGAAAAATACGGCACAGCGATCTGGTTACGAGGGCGAATCACTGCAAAAGCCCTGTTTAACATAAAGCGCCACGAAGCCATGATTATCCCCTCCAGTTCTCCTAAATAGAGAGTCTGTTTAAGCTAATATACAGAGCAAGCATGCAGGGATAGGGCACGCACGTACATGACTCTAAATTATTGGATGATAGAAGTGTACGATATGTTTGATATTTATCGACTACTTTTTGCAAGGTATTACGTACGCATGCAACGTCGATCGGATAACTAACCGAGGTAGCTTTGCGAAGGCGCTGCGTCCGGCCGCATTCTCGAGATGGTCCGGTATTGCTCATAAGCTAGAAGAGACAGAGTGCCAATATGAGCTGTCCCAAATAAAAAACAACAAAACCCATATATCTGGCACCCTAGGGCCCCGTACAACCATCTGAAAATCAAATCGAGCGTTGACCCTGATTAATTAAGTGGACGCACCATTGCAACGAACAATTCGTCGATAAGCGGCACGGGCATCGTGGATCGATATCTCACTGATGCAATATGCCGGATAATTGATAACTGATGGAAAGAAACATGGCGTATTACACCTCACAGTATAGCTAACATTGCCCAATATGCGTCTGCTTCTTGCGGATTTCAGAGGAAAACTGAGGTGGGCTTAACTATGTGTCGATATTTTCGCGGGTAATCCCCGTCAATAGTACGTCGCGGCTGAGATCCGAGCTAATTTACCGTACAGGAAATCAGAGTCGAAAATCAGTTGCGGGTTAAAACACTTCATTTAAGAGGACGTAGTATAAAGTGATGTGATACTCGGACAAGATATACAAATCGAGTTACCTTAATTTTATTGCGCCAATTTGATATCACGACCCGGTAACATACACATTTGTTTCACCACCAATTGAAGCAGTATACTTTTCAGAAAAATATTTTTCACAGAAAACATTTTCATAAGTAACTCAAAAGGGTTTTCGGTTACTGGCACGAAGCCGCATGTCGAAATTCTGTGTATATGTATACACATACTAATATTGCAAATTTAAGGTAGAGAAAGTAATGAAGATATAAGATGCTCTTTATGTGTTTATACATGTAGCACAAAGAACGCTCACGTTTTTGCGAACACGCTTTTGAAGGACAGCATTTGAGCGCGTGGCGTATTTTACTAGGACTTATGAGTTCATTTCCGCCTTATAGGGTTTGTCGGTCACCATTCAGAGGTCATGGTAGCAAACACTATGTCGTACATATATCGCTTAACAGAACAGCACTCTTTATTGAGACTGACATTACAGTATTTATATTTACTAATTGAATATGTTTCCATTTGATTAGTTGGTACCTAATACGAAACAGTCGAGTATCGGGCTGATCTAAGGTATAAAGTAGCTCTTTAAATCTTATTAGGTCCTTCGAAGCTGTTACTCGATATTAACATATTAACCAATTGAGGTAGAACAATTTACGTTTAGGTTACGCGGCGCGGAGAAGAGCTGTCCTAAGATATTACAGATTAGCAAATGGTATAATGTGGTCGACTGAATTGTGCGTAGACGTCAATGGAGCATCAGTAGGCGCTGCTAATCAAGCGGCGTATCGAGAATTGCGTTGCTTCACTTTGGTCTTAGCTATGTAACTTGGGCTGGTGATAAGAGTTCCTTGCTTTTCAGAAACTATTTAAATGAACATCGAAAATACGCTTTATATTGCATTATTGTAGAGTCTGCAGGTAAGCGATCAGTGCAATCGAATTATTTGAGAGATATTTAAGTGAATTTGCTTTTTATAAAAAAAAAAAAAAAAAAAAACTAGCTTAGAGGTCTTCACCCCGATTGAAGTCTAGCCTGGGTTATATAGCGTAAGGAAAAGGGTCAACGGCCATATTAAAACATCCGAAAACAATCCCACGTCGAATGATAATGCATATATTTTTATTACAAACGTGTTTCTTACAAGTAAGTATTAGTGAGGATCAAATGAGGTAAGGGCAACAGGACATATATGGCGTCTGGATGGTTACGAGGTTGAGTACCTATACTTCTCAACTCTTATAATCATGTTATAAAAGGGCTCCAGAGCCAGCATTTGGGTTTAGATATTCCAGGCCGAAAGCGGGCTAAAAAATCTGGCTAATTCCCTTAAAATTCCGACCAATCACTAACACTCAGTGAGTTGGTCTTTAAACTGCGATGTTAGCTTATAAGAAAATGATGTGGCATGGAGGCAACTGTTTTGAGACCTATCGTTCGCAGTGTAACATTTTATCAAAATCCCTCTCTCTCTCTCTCTCTCTCTCTATATATA